GGCCCAGAGTTCAGGCCCCACATCCGGACCCAAAAAAAAAAAAAAAAAAAAAAGATTCCATGATATTAAACTAAAACCCATTTGGCAGGCAAAAAGCTTACTCTCTCCCACATCCCACTTCAATTGTCACTTATTTGATGAATCAAAACAAGAAGCATTCCTACAATATTTCTATATTATTCTCTACTGCATTACTAACTGGTTAGTCTGAATTTGAAACAGAATTTTCCCACCTATCACCCTGCTAGTGCTGAAGTAAAACAGCTTTCTTCATAAGACACTCCTTTCATTTTAATATCCAACTCATTTACTTTCCTTAATCTACTTTCAAAGAGAAGGAGGGACAACTTTCTAGCAAGTGACAAGAAAAAAAAAAGAGAATACTTAGGGACATATTTTGAAAATGCTACTAAAATGCCATTTTCAGACAAATAATCACAGAATTTCATCTTTCCTAAGGACAGAATGAAGGCTATCACCACACATGCCATCAATAGGGCTTTGTTAAAAGGACAGGAGATAGATGATTATGTAAATTGGCATGTGATAAAAATATAGAGAAATAGGTCTGGTGGTGATGGCTTATAATCCTAGCACTCACAGGCTAAGGCAGGAGAATCATGGGCCAACGTAAGTCACATATCAAGCCCAAGTCAGCCTGAGGTACAGAGTAAGACTCCCCACCTCAAAAAGTAAAAATAAAAATGAGATGCTATATCTAAATATGTAAAATATGCTAATTAATACATAAAATACTTGCTATTTGGAATTCATTAGAGCTACCTCTCAATTTTGTAATAAAATAGTTAGAACATTTGACTAAATCTGAAGGTAATAACATGAAGAAGTCAATAGCTTACAGCATTTACTCTCTGCTCCCAATCATGCTTGTCATCAGATAATATTTCCCTAATTTTGTTTATTGATTCCTCGAGGTCTCTGCTGGAATAAATCTGCAAGTAAAGTTACAGTCAGTACAATACAATCTGTAGGATAAAGACTGTTGCTTAATTTCATAAAGTCAATAACATATAGCGTACATAATACAACTTTTTCACTTTTAAGAAATGTCTATGAGAAAATAGGCAGGCTCACCATAAATCAAGCTTATTTCTCACTATGAATGCCCTCTGTCTCATTACATTACTAATGTAATGAGCATTTCATGGGCAAAGGAAGCATATAGTGAGTGATGTTTAAGTCATTGTGCAACTTCGGAGTGGTACTAGTAGCATCACATTATAGCTCTAACTAAAGACTATGACTATGCCTGCTCAGGTATCTGACATCCTATTGTGAGACATCAACCAAGACCGAAGCACACTGAGACAGTCAAGTACTGAAGGATGAACCTAAGCCTCGTTCAAACATATGGCATCTCAGGAGCAATGCACACAACGAACACTAAGTAGCATAGAAATCAAAGGCATTAGCCTCAGTCAGCAACAAAATATACTGAGGCACAAAACAGCCCCAAATTTGTGCATGTACCCCAACTTTCATAAATTATTTTTTCTAAATCGGTTAGATACTTATGTATCAGAGATGGCATAAACAGGCTTTTATGAAATTATTCAGATAGTAAATTTTTTCAGATAGTAAATTACATTTACTTCTTTTCCCTAATAACAATCCCTTTCATCTAGCCCAATCATCTACTTCTTTCCTTTTTACATGAGCTGTCCAGTGAACTTCATACCAGATTGCTGTTCTTCCTGTTCTTGAAAAGGGTCCACGATATCCTAGACTGTACCTTGTGTCCCTTACAGTCTTCATAGTTTAAAAGACAAAACCTGATTTTAGAATTCTGCATATGACAATGCAATGGTTTACATGAGTACCCACACAGGTCATGGTGTTCTGTGCTTGGTCCCCAGAGGTGGCAGAACCTTTATGAGGGGGACCCCTGAATCTTTGAAGATGTGCCCCTGGGAGGCTGTTCTAACAGGGCTGCTATGAAAAAAATCTCTGCTTCTAGTTTGACATGTAATCACTCCCTTTCTCTCCCTCTTGCTCTCCCCAAGCCTGCAGAAAATATTCTGGATATAAGTGAACTAAACAAATCTTTCTCTTTTAAGTTGGTTGTCAAGGCACTTCACTGTACTCACAGAAAACTAACACAGACATATTTGGAAAACTACAATTTGATGAATATTTCTCTTTTTAATCATACTAAAATATCTCACTCACCTGTACCACAGGTACATCATCAAATGCTTTAATAAAGTCTTCTTCATCAACAGCACCAGCACCTTCTTTTGCAGCTGTAAAATAGTTTCATATTAAAAATACAATGTATAAAACATTTGTGACAAGTATGAAATTACATTTTGGAAGGTTTAAAAAACTATTTTTTCAAGGATATATAACATCGCCATCATCATCATCATCATCATCATCATCATGGAATTAAGAAACTTTTCTAGGCATTCACACACAGCAAGACCAAAGGAAGATACTCATAGGGGAGGAAAACAGAGGCTCAATGCTTCAAGGGGCTAGTGGGGGGTGAGGAAGGAGTTGGGGAGGTGGGGAGGGAACGAATGGTAGGGGAAAAACAAAAGAGGAGGCAACAATGCTTGATAAGAAATGTACTCATTACCTTACTCATATAACTGTAACCCCTCTACAGTATCTTTATAATAAAAAATATACAAAAATAATATTTATCAAAATGAACATCATGAAATGGAAATGAGTATTTTTTTCTCAAAAAAAAGAAGAGGAAGAGGAGCAGGAGCCAGGCATTAGTGGCACACCTGTAATCCTAGCTCCTCAGAAGGCTGAGATCTGAAGATCTTGGTTCAAAGCCAGCCCAGGTAACAAAGTCTATGAGACTCTTATTTCCAATTAACCACAGAAAACTGGAAGTAGAGCTGTGGCTCAAAGTGGTAAAGCACTAAAAACTAATGTGCAGCACCCAGGCCCTGAGGTCAAGCCCCATAACCAACAACAACAACAACCAAAAAAATTGACAATCATTTCTGACTTAAAATAACATGAATAACTTTAATTCTCTCTCTTCCTCCCTACTTCCACCATGGACCTGGGTTTGAACTAAGGGCCTGAGTGCTGTCCCTGAGCTTTTTTAGCTCAAAGCTAGTACTTTTATCACTTGAGCCACCGCTCTGCTTCTAGTTTTTCTGGATAATTGGAGATAAGAGTCTCATGGACCTTCCTGCATGGGCTGGCTTTGAACAGCGATACTCAGATCTCAACTTCCTGAGCAGTCAGAATTACAGGTGTGAGACACCAGAGCCTGGCTAGTGATTCTCATTTGTTTGTTTTTCTTTTGAGGCAAGGTCTCACTAAAAAAAACTCATGCTGGCTTTGCTTACTATCCTCTTGCCTGGGCCTCCTTTGTGCTGGGATTACAGATATCCATCACCATGCCCAGTTGAAGTACAGTAATCACAGAATGTGGATTTTAAAGGATGTAGACAACATATATTGTAAAGATCTCAAATAAACATATACATTTAATTTAAAGTTTAAAATTTTATTATTGGGAATCTAGCATAAATTACTGAAATATTCAAACCTGGCCTAAAGAACTGAAGTCTCAGTCTCTCTCCTCTCTCTCTCTCTCTCTCTCTCTCTCTCTCTCTCTCTCTCTCTCTCCCCCTAAAATTTATAATTTTTTAAAATTCAAGTTTTCCCCACAAAGTTGTTCTAAGATGCTCAAAGATACATCAAAGTTAAGATATATAAAAGTTAACTGCTAAGCTGGAAATCATGGCTCACAACTGTAATCTTAGCTATTCAGGAGGCTGAGATCTGAGGGGCACGGTTCAAAGCCAGCCCTGGGCAGGAAAGTCCATGATCTTATTTACAAATTAACTACCAAAAAATTCAAAGTCAGGGCTGGGAAGGTGGCTCAGTGGTAGAGTGCTTGCCTTGCATCCATGAGGCCCTGGGTTCAATTCCTCAGCACCACATAAGTAGAAAAAGCTGGAAGTGGGACTGAGGCTCAAGTGGTAGAGTGCTAGCCTTTAGCTGAAGAGCTGAGGGACAGCACTCAGGCCCAGAGTTCAGACCCCACGACCAATCAAAAAAGAAAAAAATTGAAAGTGGTGCTTGGCTCAAGTGGTAGAGCATTAGCCTTGGGTGAAAAAGCTCAAAGGACACCACCTAGCACCTGAGTTCAAGTCCCAGAACTGGTACAAAAATAAATAAAAGTTAATTGCTACAATAAAGAGGAAGTTATTTTGCTTTGCTCGTATGAACTCCACTTTTATATAAAAACCAGATGATATTATGTTTTTGTTGTAATAACAGTTTGTAAATTGATGCCTATAGTCATCTTTGAAAGCTCCATTTAAGGATGTACACTGATCCATAAGACTACTTTTTAAAGAGCTTTTTACCAGAAGTGTGTTCTAATGAAACTTTTAGATAAAAACTAACTTTATAAAGAAAGTTTCATGTGGCAGCAAGTATGTGTCTTCAACCTTGATTAAAAATGCTTCTACTACAGTGACAAAACTAACTGAAAATAGATGATAGCCCCACATTGTGATGTATGCGCTCTCTTACCCAGGTGCTCAGATGCCTGCATCAGTGGGAGGACTGGAAGCCACCAAGAAAAGGGTACTGAGCACTTCCTCTGTACCACATATGGAAAGTGGACTAGAAGACTAGCAATAATGAAATACAAGAATAGCAATGCAAGGAGTCAAAAAGGAAAGTCACCAACATGGTATGACATAAACTGGGGGTGGACGTAGCAGAGCTGGGGAGAAGTCAGGGCTGACATCTTTGCTGAACTGACCCTCATAGGGGCAGGAGGACTTCTAGAGGGTAAAGGTAAAGGTACAAACACGCTATTTTGAGCATGCACAAAAATTTTAAACCTTGTTTGTAAAACTGATATTACCTAAGGACAGATCAAGAAAGCTTGGCAAGATTGTTCAATTCTGACACATACGACTAGGTAGGTGAGACACTGAAAATGTTTCTCTAAATGGTTAGTTTGGGGCTGAGGCATGGCTCAATGGTAGAGCACAGGCCTAACAAGCACAAGGCCTTGAGTTTAAGCCACAGCACCAGCAAAGCAGTACTAAGGACAGAACCCAAGACTTCAAGTAGGAAAAGAAAGCAGTGTACCTGAGCTTATCTCTAGCCTTTAAATGGTTAATGCTGTGTTAAATGAACGAGAGCTTAACAACAAGTAAGATGAAATTTTATAAAAATACACCCCAAAAAGATTGGGAAGAACTAAGAAAAATAACAAGAAACATAAACAGCAACACTTTTCCTGTTCTTCCTGCATGGGCCTACATGGCAGTGTGGTATCTTACGGTTTTTGTCAAGACAACATTCCAGATAAGTTGAGAGCCCTGTTTAGATGATCAGGTGACAGTACTCTAAAGCCATCCTCACTTAGCTTTTATGTGACCCATTCAGCTTTAGGTTTTGGGGCTTATGAAATTCATACCCACCTCTCCCAGCTCTAGCTTAAAGGACCAGTCAGTAAACACAGTTGTAAAAAGCAGTGGCTACTACCATCTTTAGAGGCAAAAAGTAGAAAATATGCATGTAAAATTAAAAACTGAGATCCCAGTAACAGGACCTCTCTGCTAGTTAATTTTCGAAGCTGTAGAGACCTAATCCCAATGTATTGTTTGATTCAATATCCAAGCTAATCTTCATAAGGAAAAATGCTTCTTGCAAAAATGAAACAGTTAAGGCTTTGGGATAGTCTTTTTTGAAAAAAAATTGGCTAAAAAACTCTATGGTAGTTTGAGGCAAGATGGGTCATATAACTTTAACTCCTCTGTATAGTATCTTTACAATAAAAACATGTATTTTAAAAAATTCTACAACAATAAAAGAAAATCAATTGAAAAAAATAGCTCCAGCTAGCTCTTAAAATTATATTAAATTCAGTTAACAATTTCAGATGTAGTACCTTGATAGTACAAATAGAAAACCACCTACCAGATTTTTTAAACAGTTTTAAGACAGATACCTTTGTTTGAATTAATAAACGTAGGCTGGGGGGGGGGGAGGAAGAAAGATGGGTCAAATGATCAAATAATGCCTTCATGGTGGGGGAATCATTTGCTATTTATTTCAAAGCTGGCTGCTCTGAGCTATGTTAGCGTTCATATCCTGAAGGCTTTGCTTTACCAGAATGTGGCAGAGGTCTGCATAGTACCTCAAGCTAAAGTTACCAGCTTATCAGAATTAACAGACTATTGCCAATCCAGTCAAAAACAGGCATAGGGATATGATGCATACAGCCCCACTCACTTCTGAGGGACACCATAAGCATCACACATAGTAGGCCCCAGAATACCATATAGGACACAGTCTTACCTGAAGACTTGGATCCAAGAGTAGATGACCCAATCCGACGGGCGGTCCCCATTCCGACGTTTCTCCGTGAACTTGGTGGAGCCTTGGATGACGTAGAACTGGCCGAGGAAGGTCTATTACCATCCACAGAATCTTCATCATCAAAGTTTTTATCTGAACACAAAACACTGTTTAAGCAACAACAAAAAAAGGGCACCATTTTTCACCTATACATAAAATAACCACTGACCTTGGAAAGAAATAGTTTGTCTGCTCTTTGGGAATCAGAGATATTCAACAAGGGTCTGAAAAGTTTTGGTTAAGTCCAGAACACAGCTATAAATATCAAGATTACATTCACAGATCTAAAATGGTCAGTCTCAAAAGTATTTGCAATTGTTCTTTCATGCATTTTTGTTATTCATTTATTTTTGAGAAAGGACCTCACTATGTAGCCCAGGCTGGTCTCAAACTGTCAACCCTCCTGCCTTAGAGTTTCAAGTGTGGGGATTACAGGTGTATGCCATCACATTCAGCACTCATGGATTTAAAAAACACTTTTTTATATATTAAGACTACATATCATGCTGAACATTACTTCAAATACATTAGTTTTTCCTTTGGGATAAAACAGTTCTAACAAAAACATTGTTAGGTACTTTGTAACTGGAAAATGCCACAATCAAAAACCACATTGTGGGACACTACTGCAATAAACATCCCAACATGTATTTTTTTAATTTGAACTGCAAACAATTTTAAGAAAGAAGTCCCTAATGTAGAAAGAAATCCCTACACACAATATTACTGCATTAGAGTGTAAAAATGCTTGAAACCGACTGCCAAGTTTATCTCCATAAAATTTATATAAATGTGTGTTTTCTTTTCTGGGAAGTTCAAAGGCATATCTGTCCTTCCATATCCTTAGCAATAACAAATTACCATCTTTTTAAAACATCAATCTATTGAATTGAAAAAAATATGCTGCTTCATCTAATTGCATTTTTCTTTTAGTAAAGCTTTTTTGTTCCTAAGTTCATTAAGTACTTAATTTTCTAAACATGAATTGAGTATTCCCTATACTAAATTTTTAAAAAAGAACAAAAGAACCTGTGGTTCTTTTTTTGTTTTGTTTTACTTTTGCCAGTCCTGGGGCTTGAACTCAGGGCCCTAGGCACTGTCCCTGAGTCTCTTTGTGCTCAAGGCTAGCACTCTACCACTTGAGTCACAGCACCACTTCTGACTTTTTCTATGTATGTGGTGCTAAAGATTCAAACCCAGAGCTTTATGCATCCTGGGCAAGCACTCTACCACTGAGCTACATTCTCAGCTCCACTTGTGGTTCTTAAAATTTACTCTGCTTATGGGCCAAGTACCAAGGACAATACATTATATGTAAGCCATTTAAAGAAGCTATATGAACCTGGAGTAGTTAAAAACATAAAAGAAAATATCTGTAACAGGCAATATTAATTATTAATTTTCTAAAGAAATTTGATCACTACCAATATTTCCGAAGTAACTATACTATATGATACCAGCTTTTCTTCATCTTCTTGATTCTTTGTAAGACATCAAGGCTGTCTTGTGTTTACTCAGAATCCCAATGTTGTTTCAAATGCATCAAAAATACTCTTTAAATTATATGTATTCAACATAGGGGAGGAGGCCCAGCCTTGCAAATCTACATGCTCGTGCAAATAGGTTTCTCTCAACATGCCATTAAACTTGCCAGATTGTTTTCAGTCCATACTGTTCAATATAATCCTTTCTATCCGTACATCCATTTCTTATTATGAATCAATTTCTTCACACATCAACTTCACACATATGGTGTTCTATTAACACCCACACCCACATACACACACACATACACAGTGAGAAAGAAAGAAAAAAAGAAAATGAAAGCAGAGAGTGGGACGGAAGATGTCATGGTAATTATGCTGTCAGGAGAGAGAAGACAAACCTCTTACAACAAAATGCCTCTCAGGAAGAGGAGGAAAAGGCATCGTGAGCAGCCATGGCAGAATTTTCTAAATTAAGCTCCAAGATCCTAGTTGGTCTTTTTTACTTGCCCTCTGAAAACAAATCTTATCTGGCTTCCTACACAGATTCAAAGCAACTAATTATTAGAGACTGCAAAGGTGGATGGCAGGGGTTGAACAAACAGTTGATGGTCGGGAAAGGAGACAGAAAGAGAGAGCAAAAGATGAGGTTAATCTAATTAAATATTTGCAAGTGACAGTTGAAAGGTTGATAGCCAAAGCAAACGATGAAACACAAATACAAGCAGAAAGCCCTCTCAACCCAAACTGCTTAGGATGCGATGACAATACAGGATCATATGTCATCATCTACACAGCTAATGGCACCAGAGTAGCAATTCATAACAACACCCTGGATCATCCACATAGGGTCCAGTTACTTTTGTGCACCCTGTATAGGGAAGGCAGTAATTTATATTTACTGTTAGAACTGGAAATTCAGAGAAGCACAGGAAAAAAATCTTTATTTTTTCAGATTAAGAGTGGTACACACTCTGTGAAATTCAGAGGTACTTCACTGAAAAGATGCTTGGAGGATAAAAACCAATGGAAACTATAATTTAAAAACTCAATTGATACTATTTAAAGTAAATGTAGCCTACATTTCCCAGTTTGAGACACCTAGAAATTAAAATAAAGTTGGGCCAAGTATGGCTCATGCCTGTAATTCTAGCTACTCAGGGGGCTGAGATCTGAAGCTTGCATTTCAAAGGCAATCCACACAGGGAAGTCTTTGAGAATTTTTATCTCCAACTAACCACACACACACATACACAAAAGCAAGAAGTAGAACCATGGCTCAAGTGGTAGAGGGCTACCCTTGAGCACAAAAGCACCCACGCCCTGAGTTCAAGCCCCAGGGCCAGCACTTGCATATACACATTCACACACGTCTCTCTCTCTCTCTCTCTCTCTCTCTCTCT